ATAAGCCACGACCTGGGAGATAATTGGGTGGACGTGTCTGCTGGGACTGGGTGTTGTATCAGAAATGAAAAGGTCCTGTCACACTCTATCTCAGCCACAGTGTACAAAAACACTGGAACTGATGGAGACTAAGTGATGACTTCCAACAGAAGGACAAAGTGAAGGAGATGAGTCATCAAGATTGTTCAGACTTGTACTGTCATCCGCTTGGAACTCAAGCCATGAAAAGGCAGCCTCTGTGATCAGCTCCAAGGCTACCACATGGAGCTCTTACAAGCAAAGGATAGATATGGATATATTTCTTTGCAGCATTAAAAGTTTATTCTCACTGGAAGATATTTTTTTGGACTATGAAGATACATCTATTGTTTCTGCAAAATGCAGATAATAATACCTACACTGTGGGACTGGAAAAATAATGTAATTAAATGAAAAGTGCTTACAACAGTGCCTGACACCAACCCCGCCCCCCAGAAAAAAAGTATTGTTATTATTATGATTTAAGGTAACATTTTCAGGGAGGATTCCATTGAGAATCTTTTTTTCTACAATGGTATTACTGCTTTTCAGAACTTGGATAAACCCACTATTGTTCTCTATATGTATTAAATAGTAATAGCACAAAAGCTGGTGGCCATTTTATTACCCATTTCCAGTAATTTTGGGGTTTTTTTTGTTTGTTTGTTTCATTTCAGAATACTCACTTTTTTTTTCAGCATACCTTGAAGAAATAGTGATGTGAAAAGTGTGGCATCTTATGTTAGTAAAAATGCCCTTAGTGAATCCTTTGCGCACTGCTTCTGAGGTCTAAAGTACGTTAGAGGCCATTCTATGGAAATGTGATTTATGAGGCAAGTCTTTTCTGAAATTTGGTTGGTATTCTTTTTATGTAAAAAATGAAAAGCTCAATTATAATCTGAAGAATTGTGAAAGTGCCTCTCCCAAACTGGCACGTTGTCTTGTTTCCACTGAGTCAGACAAGATGAGCATGTTCATTGACTTGAGCCAACATGTGTTAACACTGTGCTTAACGACACAGTCCAACTGTAGCTGGATTGACATGTATCATCAATTAAAAACCATGAAACTATAACAGGAGGGGCTTCAAGATGGCGGAGAAGAAGGATGAGGAGCTCACCCTCTCCCACAAATGCATCAAAGATACATCTACATGTGGAACCATTCTCGCAGAACATCTACTGAGCTTTGGCAGAAGATCTTGGACAGTTGGAATTATAGGAAAATCTTCACAAAACCATATAAATAACAAGGTCCTACTGTACAGCACAGGGTACTATATTCAATATCTTATAATAACTTATAATGAAAAGGAATATATATGTATCACTGAAATGTTATGCTGTACACCAGAAACTAACACAACATTGTAAATCAACTATATACTTCAGTTAAACAAAACCCCATGTAACTGTAATCTTTTGTTCGGCTTATCTTGGCTTATGGCCTCCACTTAGAATGTGCTACTCACTGTAAACTCTCTTCCTCTAATTCTTTGATTATTTTAACTTTCTTTAATGTCACATATTATTTGCTGAACTAATATATTCAGTCTTTTATTTCATGTTCCAAATATCGTATGCATACCCCCTGGGGACTACAGATGTGCAAGAGACAGTCCTTGAGTACAAAGATTGGTATAAAAAGGCGCAGAGGTGAGAATCGATTAATTCCAGCTACTGGAATTATCAGACCTCTCCTCAGAGTATAAGCTCTTCAGCTACGTCTGGAAAGAGTTTGTCCTGTGTGTTCAGGTGGTGGTGAGAGACCCAGGGGGTGAGTCTCCAAATGCATTTTCACAGGCAAAACAGAAGGAACTGAACTTCGATGATTTCATTCTTCTGAACTTCTTGCAAGTTGTTTCCAGTCAACAGAGTAAATAATACATGAGATATATGATAATGAAGATATTAACTTACCATAAGATGCAAAAATGGAAAAATCGATCACTTGGTGCTCTTTGACTTTAGTCAGAAAAAATTAAATGATCCATCTTTCCGGCCATGGAAACAATATGAGATCTCTTATCCCCTGACCATGCCCTACCAAACGTGATTCAGAAGATGATTCCTCTGCCTCCTCTTCACTAAGAAATGGCAGGCGGTGCAGACTCAAAAGCTGCTCACGAGTGGGGTATGAGAGGGGGAGCAAGCAGAAATAGGAACTGAAGATTCTAACTGTGAATAATTGTTTTTAAACCAATCATTCCAGAACACATCCACAGAAGGCAAACATTCCCAGCACGTGTTTCTTCAGCTCCCAGCATTCTTGGGGTTTGTTTCCCGTTTTTAGTGAAGGTATTCACGGTGAGATTAGGTAGCAACGTGATCCATGGAACACTCATCTGGAAACTTGTCTTGGAATTCTTTTCTTGATGCAGATTAAATATTTTGGAACAAAGTCGAAACAAAGGTTAGAATTGGGGCTACGTTAAGACTTGCACGTAAGCCATAAGGAATGTGGTATGTGGTTTACTTCACTGCCTGTCCAACTGTGATGGATTTTAGTGCAGCTCATAAATGAAGTTCATGAGAAAGGCAAACGCAGAGTCTTCTTCCAGTCTTCCTTAGGAATGTGACACTCAGCTGGTTGGCACGGGCCCCTGAGGGTGGCTGGCTCCCTCCTGCCCCTGCCAGGTCACTAAAAGCAATTTGATCACAGCCAAGAGTGGCCCTGGGATTCTTTCAGCTGTTGTGTTGGTATACTCCTGTTAGAGGGAAGATTGCTTAAACTCCAAATATTGGACTTGAAAGGGACGGAGGTCAAATATCCCTGCTGTGGTGGGCTGGCTACCAAGATGGCCCCTAATGCTCTCACTTCCTGGTATGTGTGCCTTGGTGGAATGCTTTTTTGTGCAGGATTGGACCTAGGGACCTGATTCCAAGGAATGGGATATGACTAAAGTGATGAGATGTCACTTCCTAGATTGGGTTTGGAGTCTGTGACTCCCCTCTTGCTAGCACTATATTTGCTAGCACGCTTTTTCACTCTATGGCTATTGTTGCTGGCTTGCACTAGGGAAGCAAGCTGACATATTTTGAGTTGCCCTGTGGAGAGGACCATATGTTAAGGAACTGGGAGTGGCCAACAGCCAGTGAGTAAAGGAAGCCCTCAGTCCAAACCCTGTAAGGAACAGACTCCTGTTAATGGCCATGCTTGTGAGTGAGTTTGGAGGCAGGTCTCTTCTCAGATGCACATTGAGATGACTGCAGCCTGTGAGAGTCTCTGAGCTGGGGGGCCAGCTAAGCTGGGCCTAGATCCTGGACCTATAGAAACCAAGATAATAAGCACTGTATTTCAAGCCACTAAGTTTTCAAGTAATTTGTTACACAGCAACAGCTAACTAGTACATCTGCTTACAGAAGTGGTAAAGCTTAGGATGGGGGCACAAGGGTAGGTAGAGAATATGTACTTACATTTGTGTCTTTCTGAGTCCCCAGTCCAGATAGAATCTTTATGACAGGTGTTCTACATGTATGTTTTTAATCATTGCACATCCCGGCAAGGGTGGTGTCATTTGCATATTTTGCACAAAATGGAGGTTGTGAAAACTTACTCTGAAGCCTTAGTTCTGTCCTTTGCATTAACCAGTTATAAGAGTCAGTGGCTGGGACAGAGACAGATTCACCTGTCAATCCTTTTTAAAGCTCATTATGTCACTTTTCTTTTTGGAGGTCCTGACTCAGTTTAGACTGAACCATCCCACACAGTGGGCTGCACTGAAAGAGCACAGAACTTACACAAGTTTAGCCACATTCCTTAGAGCTTGGGCCTGTCATCAGAAAAGAAGACCTGCACATTTCTGACAACTTCTGGTTGAGGATTTAATCGTCCTAAGAGATGAGTGGTGATGAGCAAGTTGCTCATGTGACTTTGGTGTTCTGTTGTTGGGTTGTTTAAATTAAGTTAAAAAATAAAGTAATAGCACCCAGAGTTCCATTATTGGATGGGCTCAGTCTCATCTGATGTGTGCCAGATGCTATGTCACCTACAGCCAAAAGTTGGCAAAAGGGGTTTGGCTAAACGAGGACATGTTGGAGTAAGTGGATGGGCAGTTGAGTGCTGCTTGAAACAACGGGGGAGAACATCTCAGTGCTGCATCTTAGGACGATGCGGGTGGCTCTGGACGTCCCTGTAATGGCTTTTAGAGCTGAGTGGGGTGGCTGCAAAGTTGATTAGACTCAGAACAGGCTGTGGGCCTGACTGACCAACTCCCGGGCCAGGTCCAGGGTCTCTCCTCCACCGTCAGCCCATCCACTCTTGTGATAGCTTCCCCATCCCTGGTTCTGATGAGAGCGTGGCTGGGCCTCTCACTGCTCACGGGTTCTCAAGGAGACCACAGCCTTGCTTCCATAGCGATGGCCCCTTCACACACATTTCTGAAGGATGTTACAATTAACCGACAAAGTCTTCAGTTTCTCCTGGGCTTTCTCTTCAACTCCTGCCTGCTGCCTATTCAAAGAGGATTTTTCTAGAGCAGCCCTGCCTGGTAAGGTAGCCACTGGCCACATGAGGCGATGTAGCACTTGAAATGTGGCCAGGGAGACCGAGGAATTAAATTTGTGATTTATTCTAACTTAAATTCATTTAAATTTCCATAACCATATGTAGCTGGTGGCTAATGTGTTGGACAGCACAGTTCTAGAGGCTGTCATCCTTATGTTATTCTTTTGTCAACTTATTTTTGGCTAACATTTATAGAACATTTTCTATGTGCCAGGCACAACACATAGAGTGTTGTGTGCAGTCATCCAATTTTCACAAAACCTGATGAAGTCGATTCTATTATTTACATTTTCCAGAGCAGAAAGTTGAATTTTCGAGAGATGAAGAAGTCTGCCTCAAATCATACAGGCAGGAGACAGGATTCAAAATAAAGTTTAGTCGACTTCAGTCCTGTGTGTCCTGTACAGAGGCATGAGGCTAAGTCGGCAGAAATGGAGGGGCGAACAAAACAGACGCAAGACAGTGTGAACTATAACTCTTGTTAAAATGGGTTATTTCATTTTATTGCTTATTGTAAACACTTTGGCCACAGCAAATACATTAGTTTTTAAATAAATGTAACTGAAAGCTTTCACACCATGGACTGTTTTCCCCCAAGATGTATCATCTATGAAAATAATCAGTGAACTCCAAAAGTCTGTCCCGATATTGTGCACATTTATGCTATCATGACTCTAAATACAAACAGTAAACATACTCATCTATTGTAGGCCTGTGGGTTTGTGATGTGCCTTAAGGGACGCCATAAAACAACTCAAAGAAGAGAGATGGTGTGGACTGTAATAGCTCCTGTGTGGGTAATGTTTGCAGAACACAGGAGGTACGCAATAAACATTTTTTGACAGCGAAGATGATGAGAATTCAATTTCTGCTGGACTTTTCCTCTCCATTTTTCTTAAGGAATATATGGCACACTGGGAAGCATCCTCTGAATGTCACAGAAGCCCTGGCACTTTGAGTTGTGTAGCTGCGGTGTAATTGGGTCTGATCACACTTGCAGAAGAGAGATAAATTAAAGCATATGTGCTGCTAAAACTGTGCTAAAATCTCAGTTACTAGGATAAGCTGGAATGCCCGAATGCTCTCTGTCTTTATAAGCAAGAAAATCATCAGTGCCTAACAATCAAGCAAGTCGTACTAAACAAATCGAGCTTTCAGATCTCACTGGCAGTTAGACCGTATTTCAGTCAACGTATCTGAAAGTAAAAGATGCCACTTACATTAACTACTGAGTTTCCTAACTACAGGGACAGAGCTATAATTTTTTTTCCCTTAAGACATTTCTTTTAATCGTTTTTTTCAGCAAAATTCTTAGCATCATTTTGAGATTTCACTGAATGATGATGATGATGTTAGATTAAACATTTTAAGTCTAATTGCAAAATGACACGCACATTTGACCATCTATCCCCAATATTTTCTCAATGTACACTTTAAAATACATGAAAGGACCCCACATAAAAATAGAAATGTTAAGGTCACTTGCAGCAAAGTATGGCATATTAGAATTACTTATTAAAAGCTTCTACACCTAGAGGTAGGCACTTCATAAAATTTGGATTTTGGCAAAAGGCAACCGTTTGATGTCAATATCTTACTTTTCCACTAACCATATAACTTTTTTCAAGAGAATAGATTATTAAAATATTATAAGAGAAATGGAAATTTGTCTAAACTACGTATGAATGGAGTTTTCGCAGAGCAGAATTCAAACTTCATTTTTTCCCCTCTTCGTATATCTTCCTGGTCAAGTTCTGAGATTTTTACCCCTTGATGTAAATTCCCAAGGGAATATCTGGGTTCTTGTATTTTTATCTGGAATAAAGCACTTGTTGCTTGTGGAACTTGCTACAAATCTTTTTTTTCACAGTTGGAATAACCTGTATCATAACAGACTAAATAAAGTTGGATGAGTTTTAAGTGACTAGCACTGAAGAGTTCTTGGCTTCAAGCAACTGTGACGGCCCCTTGATTTTAAGTCTCAATTTAAATAGAGAAGATTCAACCATTCCTGTTGATTTCATTCTTGGTGACATAGAAACTCACCCCACATCTACCTAAAACAGGAGCAGAATTTTAGGGGCCCAGTGAACCCATCTGCCATTTGATTTCACCATCCCTTCTAGAGAGTGTCTCTACCAGATAGGTTTGAAGTCAGGTTTGAAGTCTTGGTGACGGGGAGCTTCACAACACACTCTCGTCAAGAAGAAAGCTCCAACTGTCCGTTCTGATATTGAAATCAAAGTTCCCTTCCTGTCAGTTTGATCCAGTGCTTCCAGCAGTATAAGGCACACAGTAGGCTCTCAGGCACTTGATCTGCATTTGTTGAAGACAAAAAAAAAAAAGACTGAATACTTCTAGTTCTGGCTTTTAAGGCTGCACAGAATGGAAATGTTTCCTTAAATAGTCCAGGCTCTGCTCTTACAGAAATCTTCTCTCTCTCTCTTTTTAGGAGCACTACTGCCATTTTCTTCACCGGTTCTTTAAGAAACATGAATTTCAAATGTCTTGTGTATCCATTACTCTTTTCTGAGTGAGCTTATGTTGATCAAGTAGATCTTTTCAGATGTGGTCCCACTGAACCAAGCGTAATACTCCCGATGAGATCAGCCCTGAGTGGGGCAGAAAGCTGTATCTGTTAGCCTGGGCAATCCACTCGACGTATTATCTGACCCCAAAGAGTATTCTTTAGGGCAGTTCTTTCCTGTCTGCTTCTGAGTAGAGGCATTTTATTCCGGGCAAGAGCTCTGATTGGCACATACTCTGTTCTGGGAGAAGGATTACTTCCTTGAGTTTCCAGGATAAGGAGGGGGTGGAGAACGCTGTGCTGGGCTGGGGGAGTATGGAGGAGGCAGGTCTGCACAGTACTCCATCTCATGGTCGTAACTGTAGGGGGGCGGTGCTACTGGAAAAGAAAAGGAAAAAGGCATCAGGCATGTAGCAGTAATTGGGCGTCTACTACATGTAAGCCATTGGGTTGGGCACTTTGGGGGAGGACAGCATTTTTGCCTCCAATAATCATAGTTTTCTCAGGCTGAGGATACCTATGTATGAAAGGCCAAGTGCTATAATAAAAGGTGATACTGGCCAAAGTATTTAGAATTGGTGGCTTAGCGCAAGTTTCTTGGGAAGATCATGGTGACGGGGAACAGAGAAGGGGCTAGAAGGATAAATTCAAGTTTGAGCAAAAGCACTGAAGCAAGAGAGGCTTTTGTTCAAAGCAAAAAGTACATGGAGGAAGGGGAGGGGCATAGCTCAGTGGTAGAGTGTGCACAGCATGCACGAGGTCCTGGGTTCAGTCCCCAGTACCTCCATACAAAAACTAAATCAGTAAACCTAATGACTTCCCCCTCCAAATTTCAAAAAATGGAAATGAAATAATCATTTAAAAAGCACATGGAGGAGAGAAATGGGAAAAGCTGCTGAGGAATCTGATTGTATCACCATCAAGGTGGGCTTTTAACAAGTTGATTGAATTATTTTTATACAATTTTTAAAGGTTATGCTCCACTTACAATTATTATGAAATATTGGCTCTCTCCCTCATGCTGTACAATATAGGGGTGGGGAGTGGGAGGCACAGACATGGGGGATAAGATGGGCTGTAAGCACAGTGGCTCTGACTGTCATGTAAGGGGTGTGTGGTGTGCAGCTGTGAGAGGTTTTGAACAGGCTAGGGACTATGCTTTAGGAAGGCAACTCTCTCAGCAGCATGGACTGAGGGGGACAAAGAGAAAGTCAGACAACGTAGTAGCCCATGTGAGGGCTTATACGGGATTCATGGAATCTGGGGGTGGGGCTTACAGGAGCCCTTGAGCAGCTGAGTGCTTGGTGATGACTGGGTAGATGGAGAAAGGGGTAGGAAGCGTTACAGAAACGACAGGCCAGTCAAGAAACAAGCACCACTCGGAGGGTTGGAGTACTCAGATGTATTACGCCGGCGGGC